ATTGTAAATACGTTTGGTGAAACGTAAAGTATAGGTATACCGTGGTAGATGTATGCGAGGTAAGCGCCGTCTCGAATCCCTGAAGGGGATTTCGAGCGGATCGAAACACGACGACGAGAGTGGTCTAATTGTCCGAGTATCCAGGGGCTATTTATCAATCGCGTTAAGCAAATACTATTTGAGGAACGAAGCGTAACGCGTCACTGTAATTAGATACGCGTTTCCTGCGATTTTTCAATTTACCAAGTTTTTCGATTCCGTCTCTTTAAAAGCACAAAGCGATTCAAAATTTCCGATCTATATTTCCGAATGAAAACGAGCGACATTGAACGAGCGACAAAACGGAACGGCATAGCTCAATCATAGGAATGAATCGGTCGTGGAACGTGTCACGACTCGACACGCGCTGTTCCCATGTTTAGTCGCAACTGTCACCTCTTTGTATTCGATCTAAAAACTTTGTTGAAACTACGTCTACCTAGTAAGAAAAATGGATCGATACTTTTTATTTAATAATTTGTATTTCGTAAAAATTCGTATTTACAATGTTCGATTCGACTTAAAAGTTTTTATTTACCTTTGAACTCTGAAAAAGATTTGAATTATATAATAACGAACGGAGATTGATAATTTGAAACATCGATGCAAGAACGAGGTTTCAGCTTTGTAACGATGTAACGTCTTCTTGAGATGGTTAATTAGAATAGGCGAAAAGAAAAATTCCGTACATTGTCCTCGATTCTTCTCTCCGCGTAACGATATTCGATACCGTAGCCGGAAAAATGGATTTAGCTGACACTGGCATTAATTATTTACTTTATACACTGTAACGGAACGTCAACCAACGTCAGTTTTAACTTGAAATCGGAACGAGAGATTATTATTCGCAATGTTTGTCATCTTATCTATTAATTTTGAAAAATCCGTTCGTGAAACGACAAATAATAAATGTACGAAGGATTCGATTTGTAAATAGTGTACGTAAAAAATTGTGTCACTTTGTTAAATCGATAAAATCGGTTGACATTGTTTCAAAGATTTTCCAACGCGAAAGAGCAATCACGAAGATACTATTGTATACTATTGATTGACGTTGGAGTAATCTCGCGCGATATCGTAAAAATAAAATGACTTTTTAAAAGAGAAGGAGAGAGAGAAAAGAGATTTAGAAGAGATTTAGGAGAAAGAAAGGCCGAGTTGAAAACGTTAAGTCAAGTTACGAGCCGCAACTATGAGCATTAGCGGAGGGAATTTAGCAGGAAATGGAAAAAGCTTCGAACGCTCGAATCCTCTAGCTCGATGCAAAAGTTTCGAATACCGGGCGAAGGAAAATGAATATTACCGGCGGACGAAAGGCTTAGCATCGGACAACTGTTGGTTCGCGAGTAATTTCAAAGCATTCGAAACGCAAATGAATCCTCCCTTTGTACATCCGCGTTAGAGGATCTTTCTTTCCATCCGCCGCCGATAACAATTTATACGCAACTTTTTCAATTTCATTATGAATAATTTCAAAGAAGAAACGTTTCAAGATCGGAGAGCAAAGCGTTAATTATAACGTAGAATACATCGTATTCTGCGTTATTTTCCCTGGTCGGTTAACGATAAAGTACATTGTTAAACGCTTAAAATTAAAACGTTAAACGTAGAATGATTATTTTTAATTTTTTTCGCGCTCGAATATTTTTGTATTTTTATTGAATGCTTGTGATAAAAATTATTATTTATTACGATTATTATTATATATTACCAAGTAATCTAATGCGGTTGTTATTAAAAGTTGAACTTTTTTTATATATACGACGTATACGTATAATTTTCCGATGGATATTCGTTTAATTTCAAAATTAAAAAAATATTACATTCCCGTGCAATGAAACGCAACCAAAATCTTTTTCCAATATGTGATATATCGTGTAACGAAAACTAATTTTTATCGGATACACGCAGGATATAGGATATGGAAAATGGTTATAAATTACGGAATACGAGATAATTAGCAACTCGAGTTGTTTGTGAATTTCAAAAACGTTAAAATGATAAAATTATTTTTTATATAGATACGTGGAACGTTTCGTTAATTTTAACGCTCGAAATAAAAAGTAATTTTGAGCGATATTTTATAATTACGCCAATTTTTTTTTTCTTTAAAGGAAAAGTGCTGTAACCTGATAAATAACCGAGTTAGCTAGATATTGGCTGACGATATGTCGTTGATCGCGTAAAGCGTGACTTCTTCTTTATGCAAATATTCGAAACTGCAAGCGTGGACGAAATTCTCGTAGATTACGAGGGAGAGGGGGGGATGGTGCTGAGACAGGACGATGTTTGTAGGTTACACGGAGGAAGTGAGTTGCTATTCCCTTGTATACCCTTGTATTGTACGTAAACCTAAACGAACCTGAATTCCTTCCTCACCGCACACCGTTTTGGTTTCTCCGGATTATTTTTTATAATTATCGCTCGATGGATAAATATGATTTTTAAAATAATTTTTTAAAATTTTTTTTAAAATAAAAAATATAAGCAGAGGAAAAGATGTTTCTCTTCAAGGTGTTCATCGCCATCGACTCGAGAAAACATTATCGAAAAGGACGAAACGAAGTATTTTTCGTAACGTAGATCGATTACGTTAGATTTATAAATGTATAATGCCAACCAATGAAATCCATTGTCTCTCTTGGGAGTGCCGACAGATAGAGCGTAGTCTTTGTGCTAGGAAACTGGGAAATTACGGATTACTATAAATTTGACATGCATGTGCGCTTCCAACGTTCTACGCTACTTAACTGTTGACGTATATCATAAAGCTAAAGTTGCGTAATGGAAATGAACAGGTTCGTTAGTTTAGTCACCTGAGACTATCTTCCCGAACATATTTCGCGATGAAAACGAGGCGAAAAGCTTTTCTTAATTCGTTTTTCGATATGTAAAATCAAATATATCTGTAGTATAAAAATAAACAAGAGCAAAATAAGAAAAGAAAGAAAGATAAAACTTGAGAAAACGATGATTAAAGCGAGAATTGGCATTGTGTTATACTATATAAAATTCGATAAATATGTTTTTAATTAAAAATGTATATAGAAGGTATCGAATTTAATTTTAATATAAGAAAATACAATATATTTCGTGTTTCGATAATAAGTAAAGTGTAAAAAAAAATATGTTGTAAAATTAGAGCAATTAGAATTTCGCTCCAAGGCGTCCATGGGATATCTGAGTATCAATATTTAAACGTTAAATACCTCTTACGTCTCCAAGTTTCTCATCGCATTTAACTAAAACTTATTAAAGACTATAAGTACGTCAATTTGAAAAGTGGAGAACAAGTTTGTGGAAGGTTGTTAAAATAAAAACTCGGAACGGAGAGAAGAGAATGAAAATTTATTAAAAATTCCTAGAGTTAACTAACTGTTCGTAACGCGAACGATATATAACTCTCGTAAATAAATGAAATACTTTCGTCGTGATACTTATTTAGCGAAATATATACGATTGGAAAAAAAAAAATGGAAAAAGAAATAATATGAATATTAGAAAATGCGAATATATAGTAAACGTTTGTGGCGTGTCAGAGACATATAAGGATCAACTTAGGTCCAACCGCTAACGGTTTTCAAATACGCTTGCTCCGCCGAGAGTCAAAATGTGGTAACTAACTGGTTGAACGGTCAGTCAAACTTCCGGCTACGAAATTCGGCAAATATTCGAGAGGCTTGGACTATCTCTCGGCAGGCCAATTACAGTGGATACTTGATGATAACGATCCAAGTCGGTCCCACGTTCAAACAGTTTTCCAACGATATGTGCGTTCATTATTCACAATGTTAATTGTCATTAACGTTTTAATTCTTATTTATCGTGCGATTGTGCATTCTCGATAAGCGTGAGGTTTACGAGATATCGATAATCGTATCGTTAATATCGTTAATGGAATAAATGCGTAAAACACGGAAGTATATACACGTCTGGAATTTTGTTCATTTTTTATTTTGTTTGTCATCGATATTTAAAGGGATTGGAAGAAAATTATCTAGCGTCTTAGATGTTTACATTTCCGCGCGTACCGTGACTGGCGAATTTCAAATTGCGGTGGAATGATCGATGAATGCGACGATACAGTTTGATGCAAATGACAATCTACACAGTGTTGGTACTTGATGTGACATATGCAGATGAGCAAGGGAATGACTTTGACGAATGAGTAAGCGGAAAACACCAACATCGAGCTAGATGATGACATCGCAAAATTGATTGCTCTAATTATTATTATTATTGTTATTGTTATTATTAATGAGTAAACATACAAATAAATATACTTTTCTTTCCATTTTCAAGATGCAACATTGCGAATAAGTTATTCGCCGAAATAAAAACAGGAAATAAGAACGGGAACTGGTTAAAAAGTTTTCAAAGTATTCTCTTGAATTAAGGTTGAAAAAAGATCAGAAGAAACAGAAGAGATTATTCGCGTGGAAAATTTTAAGATAGCTAAATGAAATTTCCTGTAGAATTAATATAATTGCATAGATGTACTTTTAAATTAAATCTTTGGAAACGATTTCACGATAAGTTTAATTTCGTTCCAAACATTTTCCAAAGAAATTCTGTTCCTTTTCTAAAGAATAAAGAATAAAATATCGTTGCTCGGTCGATCGCTATCTTGAATTTTTTTGTGTTTTTTTTTTTCACGTCTTGTTCGAGAACAAATCGAATGATAATATACACGTATATCTAATAAGCATATATCTTAAGCAATAAACAATCTAACGATCATAAATATTTCGTAGAAAGATCAAAATCTCGATAATTCTAGTAGATATCAAGTAAGATAAAATAAATATGATCCGTCGTTGATAATTCATAATCAATGATGATTAATCGGTGATAATTAATAGCTTTATAGAAACACGTGAGTACAACACAACATGACTTATCATTATCAACATCAATATCAACGTAAGCTGCGCGTTGACAGAGGAAATATAAAGGATCACCTAACGATAATTTTGTAACGTAAATCAGAGAGAATTGAATCTCTGCTTTTCTCTCGAATCGTTACATCTTGGTACGCAACCAAGAACGTGTGAAATAAATTTGTAAAGGTAACACATTCAACTTTTTTTTCCCATCGTATCTACGTTAATTAAATTAATATGATTTTTTTTACGATTTAATATTTATTTTCGAAATAGTTTCAACAATGCGTGGAAGCAGAATTCGTCGAAACAATGCAGGCATTTATCAAATATCACCATCTTTCGCGATTGTAACGTTCGCGTAATACGGTAGAAAATATATTTAGAAACAAATGCATGGAATGAATATGATATAGAAGTAAAAAAAAAAAAAAAAAAAAAAAAAAAAAAAAGATATTTGAAAATGACGCTTGCAAAATGAAATAAAAGAGGCATTATTTCTATCATCAATATTATCGAAGTCGAATATATTTATTAAACGAGCATTTTGAAACGATTCGTTTTATCGGTTCGAACGTAGATATTTGTATACGCAAAATGGTATCGTTTGTAGAAAGCGAATACTACACTCTGGGGGAATTATTGATGGTGATGCGATCGACCACGTTTCTCTTTTAAACGAACAAATGCATTGTAACGAAAGAAAAAATTTGTACGAGGTTTGTACGAGAAGAGAAAATAGCGCGTGACGTGTACGATGGATCGATGCGACGCTTTCAAATTATATCGCGAAGCAAACGTATATATTGGAGAAGAATCTTAGAAAATAATTTTTTCTTAACGAATCATTGGTGATTCCGGTTTTCTTTTTCGTTTTTTTCAGGTTGTCTTTTTCCTCCTTTTTAGGCTTTGCTCTTTCAACGGTGGAAAAATCACTAATCAAAATCGATCAATCTTTTATCGGCGTAAAATTTTATCGGAGAAACATCGAACAAGATGATAAATTCGAAAAAATACATATGTAGGTATATATAAGATAGAATTGAATTTTTTTCAGGTAGAACTATTTTTTTTTTTTTTAAATAAACACTCGTAGTTTAAAAAAATTTACTGCGTTATTGAAATGTATATGTATTTTTATTTTTATATACAATAAGATAAAACTAATATATTTGATTTTGTAATTTTCTTCATTTATATTTTATTCTTTTTATAATAGCAGGCAAAAAAAAAAAAGGAATGATATAGGAAAAGTTGCGAAAGAATGTGGAATTGCAAAATTTGCTTTACGTGCAAAATTAACAGGGAAAACTCGAGGAAAAAGGATGGAGAAAAACTAAATTTTAACGAGCGAAGAAAAAGATGGTTTATTTTTGAAGAGACATTCAAAAATAATAGAAATAAAGAAAGAAATGTGGAAATGATATCGAACATCGGTCATTGAAGAAAATTTGATAATTTTTAGAAATGGAATCGTATTTAAAATTTATGATATCTTAAAAAGATCAAAAAGTATATATTTAACGATAATGAAACTCGGATTCAGATCTTTTCTAAAAGAAGATCGAGAAATGGAAAAGATTTTTATGATATTTCGTTTCAGGAAAAAAAGAAGAAATGTGTTAATTTTTCTTTGTAACATTTTCTATATTTATCATCAATTTGTTAATGTATATTTTCATATGAGAGAATTTCAACTTTTATGCAAGTTTTTTTTCTTTTTTTTTTTTTTTTTTTTCTAATTAGGTTAATGAAATTTATACGATACGAAGATAAGATTCGCACGGAAACGCGTAATAAAGAACGAGACGAGTAAATAATCGTGACAACTTTTAAAAATGGAAAATTTCTAAAAATTAAATTTTACATAAAAATAAAATTTTTGAAACATTCCGATATTATACGTATATTTGTATTCGATACGTTTTCCGTTAGACAAATAAACCGATATTTCGAAAACTGTACGAATATAGTAGATAAAACCATGCAGTACGGAATAGGATGCACAAGCGAATAAATATGCTACAACAAGATTTTATAATCAAAATTTATATGAAACTTGAATTCTGTGCGCAAAAGTGAAGTTATTGATAAAACGAAACAAAATGCGAATAATTCATTACTGACAAATTTTTTTTTTTTATACATACGAAAAATTGAACGAAATAACTAAAAAGTATTTTTCCAAAATACTGAATCGCAGTTTACAAAGCGGCGATGTGGTACGATATAAATTTTAATTTTTGTATCGAAATTAAAACGATTGAAAAGAAAAAGACACGCGATTTTAGTTGTGTAAATCAACGAACGGATTCCATTCGCGCGTAAATAAGTAAACAGTAAAGTTTAACGCTGAGTTATGAAAATAAATGGTATTATGATGCGAAATATCGAAGAAAAATGATTTTAAACGCGCGAGTGTATAAAATTGCTTCCAAAATTTAAATTTATAAAAAATAACTCGATGGAAGATAATAAATAGCGTGTAAATCAACGAACGAACACTGTCAATATATATGAAGAATATCTGTAGATAAAATTACGATAAGAAAGTTTGTGATCGTAAATTGCTCGATGAAACGATTTTTTGGTAAATCAAAAAGCTTGACGAAAAAAATAAATAGAAGGCTAAATTGTAAGAAAAATCTTTTGAAAAATTATATATATATACGAACTCGTTTTAAGGAAAAAAAAAATAAGATCGATCGTGTAACTAGTAAATTCGCAGGTACATTTTCTTTATTCGCGATGAACGTTCGATTCAATTTTCGTAGTTTCCTTTATCGTCGAAAAGCAATTTTCCTCGAGAGTAAACGGAATAGACGGTATTGCTCGTAAATTTCATAAATCGAACGAGAAGGACAAAGACGGAGAACGGAGACTGATATTGTACTCCTAAGAGACTGGTATCCCGTTCAAGTTTATCACCAGGATGCACGACAGGAGGGTCAGATTTACCAGCAAGTAGTCCCAATCGACCTAAACAACGAGATTATTCCGCTAATTGGTACGCGTATCTCGCACAACGCTCGCACGAGATAGTCACGAGTCATCGATTTTAATCACTTATTACAGAATTATCGTTTAATTGGAATCATCACGAATCGTAACTCATCGTATCGCGTGTTGCACCGGCTATCGATCATTCTTCCTTTTATTCTATTCGTCTGACAAAGCTTCGACGAGACACGTTACAAAACTTATATTATTATAAAACTTGTTTAAATTACTTTTAATTAGCTACTTTTAATAAATATCGGATCAGATGTATACGAAAGTTACGCAAATAATTACATTGTAAATATTATAAATAAATATTAATATTGATAATTCTAAATCGAATTAGAATCGAGTTAATTATCTGGAATGAAATTTTCAATTCCCCGTTGAACCGACGTTGTTTAAATTAATCCAAGGTAGAATCGCATCTCACCATTAATTTTAGTTGGAAGAATAGAGAAAATAAGATATCGAGATTTCGATAAAAAGTTTCAATGGGATTCGGTTTATCTTCGAACTCACTATAATAATAGTCGGTTGAAGATCTAGATACGTAACGTTCGAATTAAACGATTCGTTGCTTTATCATAATCTTATTTATTTTATTACGCGTCGATATAATACCTTTGTCTGCTCGAGGTATATCATTTCTATGTTACCTGGCTTCTCAACGATCGTGCGAAAGCAGTAATCGATGTTCGTCCTTGAGCTTTTCACGTACTAATTACGTACACGTTCCTCTATTAATATCTCGATTAATTATCCGTATCGTACAATCGAATCGTGCTTGTCTATTTCGCGTATCTCGCAGTCGCATCACCATCGTACGATATATCGATGGCCGAAAAAGTGAATATACGCTTTGTCGATTTGATTCCAATATGGCGGAAAATGAGAATTTTTTAACCGCAACGATTAATTTCTGAGAAATTAAAACAAAGGTAATACGGATTTCCTCTCTATTCATTTTGTAGAAACGTAAAACTACGCTCTCGACTCGACGTGTAATTTTGTTATTTTTCTTTTTTCTTAAACCTCTTTCATTTCCTCCATTATAACATTAATGCTAAAATTTATTCGAAAAGTAAAGAGAAAGATGTAGATTGAACGAAACTCAAACGACGTCGATGCAAATAAGGCGCGCTCCTCTCTCTTTAAAAGACATAACGTAATATACCAAGAGTCGAGATGCGCAAGAAATGAAATGTAGATTCGGCAGAGCCGAATGTACGAAAACCTTTGGTAAGATGATCAAATATTTTTCTATATTTATATATGCAACGTCTTGTATAAAATTCGATCGATTACAAGATACACGACAGTGAAATGACTATAAAATATTTTCCAAAACGGGAAAATTTCCGTTAGAAACGACGTATGATTTTTGTACGAGAAACAATACGAATGATACAGCGACTGCATTGTCCGTTATTTTGCTACGGGAAAAATCGGATAGATATAAAATGTCAGCCGTTAGAGGTTTGTAAAGCTTTTAATGGAAAACGGATTAAAACTCTAAAGTGAATCGTTCCATCGAATAAACACACCTTTGGCCCGCTCCGTGACTTTTCGCTCGAAATGAGAGGGAAAAAAAAAAAAAAAAAAAAAAAAAAAAAAAAAAAAAAACGTTCCTTCAACTTTTCTAATCCGAAAACTCACGGAGAGGATAGGAGCGTTGCTTCTATAGTTGCTTCGATGAATTTCGCCAAGATGAGTTATCATCGTAACGTAATTCATCTACAATTTTAAACGAACCATCGTATAATTTAACGCGAAATTGTCGTCAAATTTTCCGTAACTTGTTCGAAATAAACTCTTGTAACTCGAATAAAACGAGTAAAAAAAATGTTAAAAATTTTTCCCTTCGTCATGATGATGATGATGAATCTTTGCATGTTATATCGCATTAAAGTTCCGGAAAATGCATTTAAAATGATACGGATACGTCGCGTTTAAAATTTTTATCGAAGGACTCGCAGGTTTGAAAACGACATCGCGATACGATACGATACTACAAACTGTTCCGTGCCGAGCCATTTCGCGATATCTCTTCTCATCTTTTAAAAAAGCACACATGACGACTGTAAGTATAAAAAAAAAAAAAAAAATCTTTTGCTTAATTAGTCAAACATTGAACACAAGTAAAGAAAAATGTAATACGTTATTGATAATTGCATATTTAATCTTGTTCGATGCGATCAACGCGTCTTTTAATTTTTATTCGCATATAAGCGAAATACATAAATGAAATTATCGATAACGGATTTTAATTTTACCTCGTTGGAAAACGCAAAACTTATCGCCTAAAATTGAAATCTTTCTCGACGATTTCATGGAAATTGGTACTTACATATATAACCAGAAGTTTTTCAGAAATTTCTCCAAGAACTCGATCGTTTCTTGAATTTGATCTACGATGAAAGAAAAAGCAGAATATATACTTTCTTTTTCGTGCGGAGAGAAATTGGAAATGGTAATGAATGGAAGCGAATATATCTTACTCTTAAAAGTTAGTGGCAAGCGAGTAACTCGGTAATTTGTCGACAAACAGAATTATTCCAAGTCGGTTAAGTCAATTAGATTTGGCAAGATCAATCTTGCATCGAGCGAAAGCGATTCAACGGCGAACAGCGTAAACCGTTTTACCCGATATTTGGCATACGCGAGCTCCGTTTACCTTGGCTAAGGTATTGAAATTCGATGATTTTTCACGTTCGTTGAATATCAAGATCTTGTAGAACGCGTTTGTCGTTACCATTCGGCGTGCCAAATTAAATCCTACATATTTGGCTATCGAATCGTAATGGAGGAATTTATTAAGTGAGATCGAGCGACAAATCGTTTAGATCGTACGTTTCTGTAAATCGGTAATGCAAAACCCGATAGATTGAAAGTTTCTACGTTAACCTCGTTACCGATTATCGTTAGCCATGCAGCAGATGATTGAATTTTATTATAATCTGGATCATTTTCAAATTATCTTCCGAACAAACGTTAAAGCAAACATTTAAAAGAGCAATCGAAACGATAAAATTTCCATTCCTCGTAGAATTCTCGGTGTGAGAATAACCGTTGCTCAAAGTGTTTGATGTCGATTATATCGTTCCAAGCGATTAACCCGAAATAGAATTTAGCTTGCTTCTGCACTCTTTAAACGCGCGAATAAATACGAATCGATCGTATTTCTAAAACGTCTCGTAACGTTTAACGTTGTTTGTATTTTTCTTGATAGTCGAAAGATAGGCAATTATCCGTTGCGTTGATCTAAATTCTGCAAAAACCTTCTCTTCGTTAATACGATTCTCTTAATCTCGATCGCTTAAACTGTTTTTTCTCGAAATTTAACACACAGAAGCGACGTTACATCGGATTTCCAGAGGATAAGAAAAGCGGAAATTGTCGAATCCGGCACTTTGTTCGTACAAAGAAAGAAAAAAAAAGGAGGAGGAAGCGTAGCGATTGCGTGTACCAATCGTAAAATAACTCTTTCCAAGAACGACAGCTATACTCCATAGAAACCGATCTCGGTTTCCTTCTTTCGCTCGTGCAAAAGTACACAAGTCGGTTCGATTGTCTGTTACTTGTGTTTCTTACTCGTTTGCAATTCAGTTTGGAATCACCTTATAGATCAAATATCTACGAGTTGAAATATCGTCAAGTTGAACCGGGGTAATAAAATGTTACGTTTAATTCGAATGAAATGATACCGATCCGACGAAAATATATGGGGAAATAAATTGCAACGAATTGTAGGGAAACGAGAGAAAGGGAGAAGAAGGATGGAAATGTAAGAGAATGGGAAAAGGAGGGAGAAAGAAAAGTAAAGGTAAAAGCGACGAATCCCGCGTCTAATTTCAATTTCCTCGAGAATGGCACTTTCTTGCTCGTCTCGACTTTAATTAAATTTGTTTAGAGGTAAGATAGCGATGGTAGTTGCGTCGGGAATGGGGAAGACGGTCCACAGTCGTTTTCGTTCACGAATACTTGCCGCTTGCTCTTTTACCCGGTCACACGGTTCAATTCCGCGTCGCAACGAGGAACGACGTATCAAGATCCAAGTTTTTCCCGACTTTCGTGTCGTCTAAATTTTTTTCTTCTCAAAACAACGAGAGAAAAATTCTCGTTGGGCTGGAAATCCCAAGTAAGAAGGGTTGCAATTTCACCAGACCCACCACTTCCGTTTTTTCCACGATTCTCCCCTCGAGTAATTACTTGCCAACGGAAACGAAGAAAATTAAACGTTTTAAAATTTTTAAAAAAAGTTTAATACGATGTTTCACGATATCCGTAACGACGTTGATAAGTTGGTAAAATTCAAACAAATATCGATCGAATTGCTTTTTTCTTTCCCCCTTGGGGAAATCGAAGCAAAATTGCATCGAGTTATTTTTACGAATAAAATAATATTCGGAATAAGAAAGTAAGATTCGGTTGTTGTACGTGTTTGATCGAGAGTACGTCTTTGATAAAAATATGATTGCTCGTATCGGGGATCGAAGCGAGAAGCGGGAAAAGGAAATAAATGGACCGATTTCGAAGGAATTTCGATCGCTCGTTTCACGCAAAGTCGTGATTTTCGCGTGTCGAAGAAGCTGATTTCCGAGTCGATGCGA